AGGAAGGAAGGAAGGAAGGAAGGAAGGAAGGAAGGAAGGAAGGAAGGAAGGAAGGAAGGAAGGAAGGTAGATGTTTAAGAATGTCAGTCCTGCCTACGACTTTATTTTCTTCAGTCTCCAAGTCTCCTAGATAATTTGCAAATTTCACGTTGGTCCCTGTATGAAGCCATTAAATTTCCTGTCTCTCTTTTATGTTTTCTCCCCTTATCTCCCCATTCTTCCTGAAAGTGGATAGCACTGCAGTATAGTAATAGATGCTCTTACATGTTGTGTATTTAGACATGTTTCCCTAAGATAAAGAAATCCCACATGACCCATGTAGCACTTTATTTCTCGTTACTATCTTTCTCCTCACCTACGGGTATTTTTAATGTGCTTGTCATAGGGATTATGAATCTTCTATGTATTTTCTCAATCTCTCTCTCTCTCTCTTTCTCTCGCTCCTTCTCACTCTCTCTCTCTCCATACTCTTCCACTCTATCTAATAGCATATTGAATAATTGAAAATATATTTCTGGGGAAATTGACTCTAGATAATAAGCATAAGGCATTTTGACACCACATTTAATAACTACTCTGGCACAAATGAGGCCATTTTTCAAAGTAACATGCAAAGCGTATGTTCTACAGCATGCTGAGAAAGGGCGAGATTACAAGGCCAGAATCTGTGCGTGTGACTTCTCTAGATAATGCTTCTCCATTGCTCTCCAGCAAGCTCAGGTTCATGTGGACAGTCCTTAGAGCTCCTGAGCCTCCTCAAGAAGCATGTGTCAGCTGGCCCTGGAGACAGACTCCTTCATAAAATGACTTTGTTCCCAGACATTCCCTTTATTTCTCCATTCATGGGAGTAGAGGTCAAAGTCAAAGGCTTTAGATTCATTCATTCATTTTGGCTTCACCATGACTGCATCATGTGACATGAAGCACATTGTTTAAATTTCTTTAGCCTCGAGTTTTCAACTGTCATGTCAAGGTAATAATAATGTCAACATTGTAGTGTACTTGTGAAGATGAAATGAGATGTGCTTGAGGTTATGTTAGTGCCAAGTATGGAATACACCCAGGAAATTCTTGTTACACGAATGAATGAATGAATGAATAAGTGAATGAGTTAACCTATAGGAGGCAATCCCATAATTCATTCAGTCATTTGATAGTACAGCAGCAGGAGAAACTCTGGATTTGGTCAGATCCAGATCAAACCTGTCTTCTTTTGATATAAGAAGCCTAAGAATGTGGTGACCAATCGCTATGCATGAAAGATGGTGATTTAAACACAAAAATAAGATTTCTACCTCCATTTTACTCAGAGAACTAAGAGCTGTTAAAATACCAGTCATGTGCCAGTAACTTCTTTGCCTTTGATCTTGATAACTTGTTTACTGCTGATCAAATGGAAGGAAACTGACTTTGATTAGATCCAAAAATTGTCTTAGAGAAAAGTAATGTACTTTTTCTGAGTGGTTCTTGGCAGTCAATTACGGGAAAAAATATATATATATAATTTTTTTGCATGGGTGGAGGGTAGTATTAGAGTTTCAA